GTAAAACCTTAAAAAGTAGAAAATATGCTTTTTTTATTGAAAAGGAAAATATGCTCTCCTTTTTTTTTATGTAATATTGAAAACGAAGTTTGCAAACAAAGAAAAAGAAACAAGAACTATGCGGAAGCAAAATCAAATTCAGTATCATATGTACGGTATGAAGCTTATGGCTCTAATATCATATAGAAGAAATTAAAGCATGAAAAACTGAAAAGGAAAAACTGAAAAAAAAGCAAAAAAGAAGAAAAAAAAAGAGACATACTAAGATATTATTTAGTGATATGAACTGTTATATAAAAAGTCTCTATGTGAAGCCTTTATATAGAGGTTTAGATAACTTACTGGCTAAGATTTTATGAATAAACAAACAAGTAATGAATCTTATCTGAACCATCTCTACATGGGATTATTTGTAGCACAAAAAAACTTGTGGACTGTTAGAAACTGAACAAAAGAAGACATGTTGACATTACACATGAAGATTGCACATTTGATTTGTGTTTTCAGAAAACTGTCATACATTGAGGAGTCACACGCAACTTTTTCAGTCAATGCTGCAGGATCTGTGTCTAGCACAACGTTTTCATCAAGTTGGCCTTGAACCTGCAAGTTTATGTTATGAATCCATTATATCTGACAATCTGACAATTCCTGGATGATAAGAATTAATCAACTGAATTACATGAACAAGTTTTGAAAAGGAGAAATGAAGCATACCTCTTCCAAACCTCAGTTTATGTAGGTACAAGAAATGTGGGAAATCTTGGAACATTCGCGGCTGTGCACTCTGGCACATCTTTCCTCCAATTTTGGACAACTGTCAATCGTAAGTAATTGTAAGTTGGAGAGGCAGTGCATGGCTTCAGTAGAAGGCAAATGTGTCAAATTAAAGCAATTCATAATTCCCAGCTCCTCGAGAGAAGAAAGGTCTCCCAACCACTCTGGCAAAGCTTCCAGGCCATGGAAATTACATAACGCCAAGTTCTTAAGGATAGTGATATGTTGAAGCTGATGTGGAAGAGATTCTAGTATATCCATCCTTCCAATCTCAATTCTTCAAGAGAGGCACAGAGGTGATGGATGGAAGAGAGTCTTGGGAATTCCTCCAACTTCAACCAGAAACCACCAATCTGTAACTTCTTCGAGCAGGTGAGCCTACATAGCCACTCCTCTGGAATGCTCCTCAGCTCTTTACAATGATAAATATATAGCCACCAAAGAGAGATGCAGGATACCAGCCCAGTTGGCAAACACGTTAACCCATCACAATCACTAAGCTTAAGCATTTCAAGAGACGTGAGCCCATTTAAACTTGTTATAACCATCAGTTTCGGACATTCCATTATGGTTAAACACAATAGCCTATGATGAGATGAAAATCCATTCATCGAGCAAGTCTTCAACATTGGACATGATTCAATTATCAACTCCTCAAGCAAGGAAAAACAATTAGGCCCTCCCCTCTGCTTCTGCCCATTCTTCTAGGCTTTCCATATATGCTACTTTGAGTTTTCTCAAAGCTGGGAATATTTGTGTGATTAATGCTACCCCACCTTTATTGATGCTTCCATTCAAGTGGAACTTGCTACCCATACCGCAACGCGTCCATGCACCCTCATGTTTAGGAGCACCGCATCAAGCATTTTACCGCCAACATTTTCGAAGTAGATGTCAATACCTTCAGGGAAGTACCTATCAAGAGAAAACAGTAAAAGCCTTGATAATATAATATGGTAGCCGAACTTATGGACTTATGGTTCAGTTTGTATCATCAACAGGAGGAAAACCTAAGGAATGCAACTTTGTCAGTTTGACCCCTGACTTGATGGAAAGCAATTACATGTTTCACGTGATGACTAACACAGGTCCATCAACTTGAAAGTTTTGTAAAGGGAAACCCCACAGAACAGAAATCTTGGGAAAAATTTTAAATAGAAAATATGAGCTAGGAACATCTGGATCTTTGTAGCTGAACAGATATTTTTACAGTTTCATGGAAATTGTCGCACTGACCTTTTCAAAGCAGCATCGGGGCCATTCTCTTCTTTATAATTGAAAGCCTCATCAAACCCAAATTTGTTCTTTAGCAGATCAACCTCCAAAAATAGTTTGTAATCAAGTGGGCATTAAAAGTGATTGAATGTTGTGTTTGAGTCACCATATCAAAAGGCAGAAAAAACAAAATTTTAAGAGTATAAATTTGCAGTTTTTTCAACCAACCAATACACTGATGAAGAGAAGTGGCAATGCACACCAGCAACTCTATAGTAAAAATTTCATTTTATATATTTTCTGCCGTGACCATGTATCATCGTACGTGCACAGAGGAAGTGTACTACACAGCATAGTAAAATATAATTTGCAGCCAAGATAAAAACTAATATATAAACTAAAATGAAGAATAGTAGCTTGATGTAGCAACATTTCTTTGCTTCCAGCGCTTCCAACTACATAACAACCTGCCGACTTGGCAAACTGCCCAACAAGCTGACCAACTGCACCAGATGCTACTGAAATGTATACATATTCTCTTTTCTTAGGAAAGTGAACATCATGCAGCCTGACACAAGCAGTGAGACCAGGCATACCTATAATGAAGCAGATTGTGCACAATTAGAAGAAGAATTTGTTTAACAATATAATGCAGGACACGAGAAAATTAGATAGTGTTGTATATATTGCCTTCTCTTTTAATAATCCCCTGCAGCAATTTGTTTGACCAATTAGTTATTGATTCTTTTTGGATTGACTTCACCAATAATGACAAACTATTTATAATTTTAAAAGCAGGCTCCTAAATTTAGATGACCAGGAATTTCACCATAGAACAGAGAACATGTAACCCAACCCAACATATTGGAATTTGCAGATAATGAAAGTAAATAAATTTTAAAAACCTCCAATATGGTCAAATTGATCTCTTCAAACTGCCGAGCGAACATGTTAAACTGTTCATGATCTAAATTCATTTCCATAGCTATACATCCCAGTAAATCCAAAACCAGTAAAGAAAAAGGAGAAGACATGAACTCTAATTTAAACCATAATGACTCACTCTGTCAATTGACATAGCCAATTGTTTCAGGGGAAACAAACATCCCAAGAGCTAAGAACAAAAGCCAGTCCGCTCTGTTGGGGCCAAGGCTGTCAATCATTAGGCTCAATAAACTAAAGACTAAGGCATGAAAAACCATGAACATAAATCATACTCAAGTGATATTAACATGTGCATTCAACCAATTCCAAACCAACTACAATTACACTAAACATAAAGAAACGATATATCTGAAGCCATAGCGCAAGCCGCTTACCGAGAAGTCCAGTGTAATAGGAAAGTGGCACATCAGTATCAGGAATTTTGAAGAGTGCTTTAGGTTCACTAAGGAGCGTATATTCTCCCCACCCAGTGTAGCCCCAAACTAAGCACCCTTTTTGTACTCAGGATGCCTTGAGTCCACAACTTTGGACGTTCCAAACCCAACTATTGGCTGCAAGATTTCATCCAAAAAAAGTCCAGAAATCAAAGATTAGAACCCATATAAGAGGACAATCAATCAAAAAAGCAACAGATTTGAATCATTTTTCTTCCTTCCTTTCTTTAAAATGGAAAAAGAAAGAACTCAGTAACCTAAAAAGCCACAAAAACAGATTTTTATACTATTTGGCTTAATAATTAAAAAAAAAAAAAAAAAGGCAATCCACTGAACTAAAATATTCATCAAAGGGTGTGATTAAGACAAAAAGGAATCAAACCCATTTCCCAGAGAGGATAAAGAAACTTACAGAGCCTGGAGTGTAAGACGTAAAGTCAGGTTCTTCAGAGTATTTCAACCGATTTCTCATGTAGGGATCACAGGACAAGCTGAGGTTTTTTAGGAGAACCCCATTTGAGTTCTCTGGTACCCTGAGGTTTATAGAGGTTGTGGTAACGTACTTGTCTGTTTATTTAGGGAAACCAGTGACAGAGTCCCGCAATATCACCCGCTTGTTGCTCACCACTTCTTCGTTACCGCCATCTGCCATCGTCGTTCTCTCTGGAATCAAAGACGATACCAACGAGAAAAGTGGGTTTATTTATTTATTTTATTTTTTTATTTTTTGAACATATTTACAAGGGGCGGGTTTTCGAACCCAACCAAAGAGGAAGGAATGCATCAGGCTGCCTATTCCCACTAGGCCGCAATGGCCAGGTGCAGAAAAGTGGGTTTATTGATTTGGAAATTTTAAGAAATATATATTTGGAGATAATATGATGTGAACTGGACGATTCGTTTCTTTTCTATTCCTTTTCTGAGATGGACCAGCGTGAAAACATTGACATTTTTTTTTTCTGCCATGATCGACAGCACAGTATGAACTATGAAGATCTTTATATGGAAAAATTATTTTATAATTTAAATTTAAAAAAATATTTT